ATGAAATAATGATAAGATAGAAAAATAAATAAATAAATAAAATAAAAAGTATAAATTAAGTGAAAACTTCTATATAAAACGTTCAACTTTGAAAAACTTCATTTCAAGCAATAAATATATTGCAAAACTAAATACATCAAGCACCTCCTCGAAAGGATCGACAAAGGTTGAGCCGTTTAGTGGTTTGAAATGCTCATTATAATAAGAACTGAGTCGATTCATCCAATTAACATCTACCGGTTTGTCGATGTTAAGCTCTTCTTCCGAGATATCTTTAGAGTTTAGTGGTATATCATATATTTTCTGATCTTCTGAATGATCATTTGAAGTAGATCCTAGTGCATCTGCGTATCTTCTCTGATCTTCTGAAAAATCATTCGAAGTAGATCCTAGCGTATCTGCGTATCTTCTCCGATCTTCTGAATTTAGCGGTATATTGTACATTTTCTGATTTTCTGAATGATCATTTGAAGTAGATCCTAGTGCATCTGCGTATCTTCTCCGATCTTCTGAATTCAAATTTGGATGTTTCCCTTTCCCTTTGGAAGAAGATTCTAGCAAAATTTCAAAATTGGATTCTTGATCTTCAGAATATTGATTTAGTTCTTCTTCTTGAATTATTTCTACTTTATTCATTGTAGGATTGTCACGCCAGATAGATACTTTTACCCGGGTAGAATGATTATTATACCAATTGTCAATAACTTCAGATTCAGCATTAGAGGTATTTCTCAATAATGCTAATGAAATAAATACTTTGAATACTGAAGAAACAAGAGAAGGGTAAATGATTTGTTTACCAGTTAAAAGAATAAGAGTAAACGTGAATATACGAAATATTGTGCTAACTATTGTAATATAATAAAAAGTTGGTAAAATATAATAGAATTCATATGTTATTTTATCAGTGGGTAACCTATTAATTAAATGATAGAAGCTAATACATGTATAGGCAAAAAGATAAAAGTGTTTTGCAGATGAAAAAATAGTCACTAACTGAAAAACTAGAGCGAGTGTAAGAAATACAGAAAATTTATCATTTGTTGCTTCATTGGTAAAAACTAACATAATATAGGTCAAGAAGGAAACGATTGAACAAAAAATAGTACAAACACATAGTCTTAATATAATATAAAGAATTTGCCTAAAACATCTATCTAGACGAAATAGGCGAAATTTATGATCAGAAAATTTAAAGATTCCTGAGGGTTTTTTACCAGGCAACAACATGTAACCTCCGAACAATAAACAATGAAAATCTGATGCATAGATTTCTTTACCCTTTGTTTCATCCTCGCTTATATTTAAGAAACCATCATCGCCAATATCGACTATAATCTTTTCAGTTCTGGAAGTACTAAGTGTTACGATAGTTTTAAATTCAAAGTCTCCAATAACACGAAAAAGGGCATTTGAATAAAGTGCATGAAAGACTTCAGGATAATATAAGAAAATTTGACCGAAGGATGGAACTTTAAGACAAATTTTCATATTAATTAACAATAAGCCTTTTAAAATCACTTGAATTGCAATAATAATAAAAAAAGTTGAAGCAAATAATAAGTCCAAGACGAGAAAAGGAAATCGATTCCAAAATGCACGATATATAAATAATGTACTAAATGGTATGATAAAATTGTAAAATTTTAAGTCAGAAAATAAAAGTTTGAAAATTGTAAAAAAAGTTATAGTTAATGTAAATGGGATAGCTTCAGGGTGGATGGCATTCAAGATAGAAACTATGAGAGGAACAGAAAGAGATGTGACATAGCTGTAGCCCCAATATAATGCCAACTTTAATAGCCAGGAGAATAAAAAGCAAATTGTATTATTTTTCATTTCAAATAAACTAAGAGATGTAATAATAGTGAAAATTTAAAAATAATAAAGAATGTAAGGAAAGGCCGTAAAGGCAGCCATTATATATGTCTTGACGCGATTTATCGCAGAGTAATAACCAGCATTTAAATAAAGTGGATAATATAAAATAAAATTCCTATGATATA